ACCCCATGGCTGTTCTGAGGTGCTCCGTGCCCCTCCTCCCCACGACAATCCTGGGGGGCTCACAGCTACTCCAAAGCGACTCCACAGCAATTCGGGGGGTCTCAATACCACCCCACAACAACTGGGACCCTCAAAGCCTTCCCCCCTCAAACCAATTCTGGATCCCTCAAGGCCGCTCCACACCAACGCTGGAGGTCTCAACCCTTCCCTCCCCCCGCCAACACGCACACCGGTTCTACGGTCCCTCAGAACCACTCCAGAACGATCCTGAGACGTTCCAGAGCCCCTCTGTAGTAATCTTTAGTTTCTCAAGGCCACCCCAGAGCACGGAGGTCTCCGCTGCCTCCCCCCGTGGCAATCCTGGGGACTCGGTGCCACCCCACAGCAATTTCGAGGCGCTCAGAGCTTCCACGCAGCAATCCTGGGGTCCTCAAGGCCACCCCACGCCGATCTCAGGGTGCTCAGTGCCACCCCACAGCCGCCCCACGCTGACCTCGGGGTCCTCACGATCACCCCACGCCAATTCTGAGAAACTCAGTGCCACCCCGGAGCCAATTCCGGGGTGCCCCACTGCCTCTCCAAAGCCCCCACTCCCATCCGGGGTTGCTCAGTGCCACCCCCCAGCCCCCCCCCCAAACCCACTCCTGGATACCCCACGGATACCCCAACGCCCCAAGACAAATCTGATTGTGCTCAATGCAACCCCCCGCGCAACCTCAGGCTGCCCCAGGACCCCCCCCCAACTCGCGTAACCCACAGACCCCCCGTTTCCTCCCCACCCCGAACCCCTCCGGCCCCACACGCCAAAGGCTCTCAAAGACCCCCCCGCAGCCATTCCGGACCCCAACAGGGCTTTGGGGTCCCCCCACGGCGCTCCGCGGTGCCGCCCCCCCCCCGCCCCGTGACACAGCACTTTGGATCCCCGCGGGCCCTCCCCGCCGCCGCCCCCGCGCGAACACCCAAACATGGCGCTTTTCGCCCCAAAAGCGCCGCGCACAAAGCGGCGCCGCCCATTGGTCGTCTGCCCGCCGTCTTCGCCCCCCATTGGTTTCTTCTATGGCGGGCGGGCGGAACCAGATTTGATGGACAGCTCGTGCTCACGTGTCCTCCCCCCCCCCGATTGGGTCTTTTTGGTTAAAAAAATAAAATAAAATCATAAAAAAAGGGCGAAGTTGCCCCATCCTCACTCACCTGAGCCGCTCCCACGGAGGGCCACGGCCCCCGACCCGATATCATCCTCTCGTCGCCCCCTTAAAGCCCCGTTTTTGGGGCAAAAAATCAAAAAAAACATCCCAGGGCAGAAAAAGGAGCCACGCGCTACGTCAGCTGCGCCGCGATTGGCCGCCCGCCGTCACGTGATACCCCCGCGCCACTCCGACGGCCCCATTCATGGAGTCCGGGCGACTCTGCGGGGTCCTATCGCCGCTCCAAGGGGGGTGATGGGGCGCATGCGCAGTGCAGGGGGCATGTGAGGGAGGAGGGAGGGGTGGAGCTGTGGGGGTGCGCAGTGCTGCTGGGGTGCTGCGGTGGGGTTGCATGGCGTTGCAAGGTTGCAGCCATGAAGATTCACGGCGTTGTAAGTGTGCATCTGTAGGGTGGTATTTCAAGGGTGCGCCTACGGGAGTGCCTGGCGTTGCAAGGTGCACCTCTGGACGCGTATGTCATTGCAAAGGGTGCAGCTGTGGAGGTGAATGGCATTGCAAGGGTGTATCTATGGGAGTGCACAGCACTGCAAGGGCGCACCTATGGGTGTGCCTGGCATCGCATGCGTGCATGTGTGGGGATGCATGGCATTGCGGGGGTGCATCAACGGCGGTGCTTAGGATCGTGAGTGTGCGCCTGTAGCAGTGCCTGGCATTGCAAGGATGCGCGCAGGATGCGTACGGCATTGCAGGGGTGCAGCTGCCGGCATTGCAGAGGGCCGATCTCGCCCGCAGGGCTGTGCAGACCTGACTGCGGTGCAGCGCTTCCAGCTCGGAGTGCGCATTGCAGTGCGGTGCATTGCAGTGCGAGCAGCCACTGCTGCAGGGAGTGTAGTGCACGCCCCGAAGATGCCCCCTCGGCTCCAAACCCCAACTTTTACCCTCCATATCCCACTCTTTTATCCCCCAAATATGTAGTTTTACACATAAAACACGTTTTTACCATCAAACCTCAGGCTTTTCTCTCAAAATCCATCGCAAAAGCAACATCCGCACTGTGATGAGGCACCCGGCGATCTACGCAGCCCACTTGTCCCCTCCTTCATTAATTAGCGATACTTACTAATTGCTCGCGGGTGGTTTAGCGCCTATTACAGCGTCGGGACTCCCCGCTAGTTTCTTCTACCTGGCAACAAGTGACGCAAGGTAATTGCGGAGCGCAGCCATTGGTTGAGCCGCACAATCGCCGCCTGTCACAGCGCCGGTGTTCCCTGCGGATCTGTTCTGCCTAGCAACCGATGACGCGGACGGGTGTCCTGCGGGCTTGTTCTGCCTGGCAACCACTGACGCGTAGAGCCGCGAGGCACGGCCATTGGCTGAAAGTGATTGCCGGTAGCTGAGGGATGGGGGCTGCGAGCGGGCGCGGGGCGCTCGTGGCAGCTCTGCTGGGGGCGGCCCTTGGGAGCGTCAGAGCCGGTAGGGAGAAGTGGGGGCATGGGGTGGGCATGGGGTAGTGCCAGGGGTGTCCAAGATGCGTGTATGGGGAGCGCAAGGGGCTGTGCAAGGAGTGGATCGTGCTCTGGGTTACAGGGTGGGCATGCACTGGTGCAAGGAGTTGTGCAAGGGGTGTTTGCGCATTGATGCAAGGGGAGGATGAGCAGGAGGGTGCTTGCGCGCATGCAGGGGGCTGTGCATGGTGTGGTTAGTGCATTAGGGGTTGAGTGTGAGAAGTGGAGTGAAAGGGGTGCCGTGCACTACTGGTTCAAGAGACTGTGCAAGGAATGCGTTGTGCTTTAGTGCAAGGGAGGAGTGCAAACAGGCGTGCATTTGTGCAAGAGGCTCTGTGCATTAATGCAAGGAGTGGCCGTGCACCGGTGCAAGGGGCTGTGAATAGAGTGCTTTGTGCATTAGTGCAGAGTATGTGAGCAGGAGGATGCACACGCTAATCAGTGCAGAGGTTGTGCGAGGCATTGTTGGTGCATCGGTGCAAGAGGAAGCATAAGCGTGCAAGAGTTGAGCTGCACTCAGCATGCAGTGTGTACACATGCAGTGAGCGTGCCTGCAGCAGACGTGTCCGTGCGCAGCGTGCGTGTGTGCCTGCTGTCCCCGTGTCCCACACCCTGTCTGTGCCCACAGAGCCATCGCTGCACACCCTGTCCGAGGTGCTCTTCTGCCAGCCGGACACGCCGTCGCTGGGGCTGTCGGTAGCCTTCGACTCGGAGCAGCTCTTCTCATTCGATGTCCCCAGCTTGCAGTGGCTGCCGCAGCTCCCCGATGGCCCCGCGTGGCCCACAGGCACCGAGCAGCCCCAGGAGCTGGAGCACGACACCACGCTGTGCCGCAACCTACACGACGGGCTCACCAAGATCGCCACTGAGCTGCTGCCAATGCCTGAAGCCAAGGGTGGGTGCTGCTGTCCCCGCTATGGCCCTGCCGACGGGTCCCCAGCCATGGGTTCCCTATGATGCTGACCCCAGTGGACATCCCCAGTTGATGCAGCCCCATTGATGCGTCCCCCGTGGCCATCCTTACTGACGCTGTCCCCATTGATGTGTTCTCAGTGGACATCCCCAGTTGATCCTGTTCCCAGTGATGCTGTCCCCAGTTGACATCCCCAACTGGTGAAGTCCTTGTTGAAGTTGTCTTGATTCATTCATTCCTGCTGATGTGTTCCCAGTGGACACCCCCAATTGATGCTGTCCCCACTGATCTTGTCCCAGTTGATGCATCCCCAGTGGACATCCCCGGTTGATCCTGTCCCCATTGATTTATCCCCACTGATACCATCCCCACTGATGCATCCCCAGTGGACATCCCCACTGATGTTAGCCCCTGTCATGCTGTCCCCATTGATGCTGCCTCCAATGGACGTCCCAATCGATGCTGTCCCCAGTGATGTGTCCTCACTGATGTGTCCCCAGTCCATGCTGTCCCCAGTGACGTGTCCCCAGCAGTACAACTTCCCTGATGTACCCCCAGCTGATGCTATCCCCAGTGGTGCATCCCCAGTGATGTTTCCCCAGTATGATGCTGTCCCCAGTGATGCATCCCCCATTCATGCGTCCCCAGTGATGCGTCCCCATTGATGTGTCCCCATGGATGTGTCCCCCTGCAGGCATCCCGGTGGCTGACGTCTTCCTGCAGCAGCCGCTGCAGCTGGGCTATCCCAACACCCTGGTCTGTATGGTGGGCAACATCTTCCCCCCGGCCATCACCATCAGCTGGCAGCGGGACGGCGTCCCCGTCACCGACGGCGTCACCCAGCTCACCTACATCCCCATGGAGGACCTGAGCTTCATGCGCTTCTCCTACCTGGCGGTGACGCCTCACTCTGGTGACATCTACTCCTGCGTTGTCACCCGCGAGAGGGACAACATCTCTGTGGTGGCTTATTGGGGTGAGTGGGGACGTGGGGCGATGCTTTGTGTCCCCGCAGCGGTGGCCGATTGGGGTGTGGGCAGAGGGAGCAACGCTTTGTGTCCCCGCAGTGCCGCAGGACCCCATCCCTTCGGACACGTTGGCCATGGCGGTGTGCGGCGCTGTGACGGCGCTGGGCGTCCTGCTGGCACTGCTGGGTTTGGGGCTGCTGCTTTCTGCCCGCCGGCGCAGCATGTGGGGACAGCGGGGACATCGACCCCGTACTCATTGATATCCTCCACGAGTTGCTCCCTCGGCTTGGGAACGGTGGCAGTGATGTAATTAAAGCCCTTCGTTTCAGCGCCGTGTCTTCGTTTGTCTCCGCACCGGGAAGGGTGGTAATTAACGGGGTTGGGCGTTGTCCCCAGGTAGCAAAGTCTGATCCCACTGCACCGCCCATGGGGTGACGTGGGGAGGAAGAGAAGGAGGAGGAGGGACGGCGGGGGGACGGGGGGGATGAAGGCTGCAGTGCTCGCCATGGGGCCGACGGGTTTCGGGGTGCTGGGGGCGATGGGGCTGGCGCTGAGCTGCGGGGCAGCAGGTAGGACGTGGGGCAGCGTGGGGTTTTTGGGGTGAAGCATGGGGGGTTTTAGGGTGCAGCCTGGGCTTTCCAGGGTGCGACGTGTGGGTTTGGGGAGAAGCATGGGGGGTTTGGGGGTGCAGCATGAGTTTTTTGGGTGCAAAATGGGGTTTTTGGGGTGCAACGTGGGTTTAGGGGAGCAGTGTGAGTTTTTAGGGTGCAACATGGGGTTTTAGGGTACAGTGTGGGGCTTTGGAGTGCAGCATGGGCTGCTGCATGTATTCATAGTGCACAATGTGGGGTTCTTGGGGCGCCGTGTGAGATTTTAGGGTACAACGTGGGATTTCTGGGGTGCACTATGAGCTTTCAGGGTACAACATGAGGTTTTTGGGGCGCAGCATGGGGTTTTAGGGTGCAGCCGGGACTTTGGGGTGCAGCCCCAGCGCTGTGCCCACCCCGTGCCCCCAACGCAGGCGCCTTCGTGGTGCACGTGGCCAGCTCCTGCCCGCTGACAGCCAACGGCTCCCTGGGGGGCTTCGACCTCACCGTGGCCTTCAACAAGAACCCCCTGGTGTGCTACGACCCCGACGCCCACATCTTCTACCCCTGTGACGGGGGGCTGCTACACGGCGTTGCCACTTTTGTCGCCTTCATCCTAAATTATAATGCCACGTGGGTGCAGCGTGCAGAGGCGCGCAGACAGGCGTGCACTGAGCTGGCTGCACAGTTCTGGGCACAGACTGCACTGCGGAGGAGTGAGCACTGCTGCATGCAAGTGGAGCGTTGCAAACGGGGGGCATTGCAAGGAGTTGTTGCATGGGGGTGTTGCAACGGGGTGATGCACAGCTGGGCATTGCAGGGGGCGCTGCACGGGGATGTTGCAAAGGGAATTGCATGGGGACATCATGCAGGGGGTTGAATGGGACTTTGCTTGGGGACGTTCCAAAGCAATGGAGTGAGAGATTGCAAAGGGACGTTGCATGGGGACTTTGCACCGAGCATTGCAGGGGATGCACACGAGAAATTTGCATGGGGAAAGCACAGAATGCAGCATGGGGTCGTTGCATGCGGAATTGAGAGGGACTTTGCACAGGGAAATGCAAAGGGGCGTCACAAGGGGACATGGCACGGGATGTTCTAGGGGGCATCGCATGGGGACACCCAAAGGGAACGCAAAGGGACGTTGCGTGGGGACATTGCAAACAAACTGAGCGGGAGATTGCGCCGGGACGCTGCATGGGGATGTGGCATAGGGTGATGCACCAGCACGATGCACGGGGACATCGCATGGACTGTCCCACCAACCACCCTGCAGGGTGACAGAGGGGACGGTCCCCAGCTCTGACCGTCCCCCCTTTGCTGCAGCACCACCCCAGGTCCGCATCGTCCCCATCCGCATCTCCAACGACCCCGACACCGTCCGCCTCATCTGCCACGTCTGGGGCTTCTTCCCACCCGCAGTGACCATCCAGTGGCTGCAAAACGGCCTCGTGTTGGCCTCGGATGACACCGAACTGCTGCCCAACGGCGACTGGACCTACAGGACACAGACAACGCTGAGGGCCAGCACTGCGGCAGGGAGCACCTACACATGCTCAGTGTGGCACTCCAGCCTGGAGCAGCCGCTGCAGGTGGACTGGAGTGAGTTTGGGGACGGGGATGTGGCACCCGGCCCCCACAGTCCCCCATGGCTCATTCTGCTGTTCCCACAGGTCCCAATTTGTCTCCGGGAATGATGGCGCAGGTGGCAGTGGCGGCCATGGCGCTGACCTTGGGGTTGGTGGCATTCAGCGCTGGGGTTTTCAGCTTCTGTCAGCGGCCACAGGGTGACGGATGGGGACACAGTGCTGGGGATGTGTGTGACACCAAGGCTCTGTTGTCCAGCGTGGGGTGTCCCTCCTCATTCATCATCTTCTGTGTGGCAGGTCCTGATGCTGGTTCCAGTCCCCATCCTGATGCGGGTTCTGATTCCAGTCCTGGTCCTCAAAATGATCCCCGTCCAAGTTCTGGTCCCCATCCTGGTCCTGGTCCTCATTCTGGTTCTGGTCCCCATCCCGGTCCTGGTCCTCATTCTGGTTCTGGTCCCCATCCTGGTCCTGGTCCTCATTCTGGTTCTGGTCCCAGTCCTGGTCCTGGTCCTCATTCTGCTTCTGACCCCCACCCCGGTCCTGGTCCCCATCCCAGTCCTGGTCCCGGTCCTGGCTCTACTCCTGGTCCCTATCCCTGACCCTGGTCCAGGTTCCCATCCCGATGCCAGTCCCAGTCGTGGTCCCCATCCTGGTCCTGTTCCCCAGTTTGGGACCTCAATGACCGGAACTCCCATGTCCCAGCATGGGGACCCCCAATTTGGGGTGAGGGGTTCTCACCCCCCAATAAAACCATCTGCAACCCCAGCCTCGCTCTAATTCTCGTTCCCACGTTGTGTGGGTGGGGCTCCCAGTGCTCCCAGTGCTCCCAGTGCTCCCAGACGTCTATGTCCCCTAAGCGTCGGCTCCGCTTCATTCTGCTCCGGTAACAGATGACGCTACCGCGACGCCGTTTCTGATTGGCTGCTCAGTGCCCCCCCCCGCCCCACATCCGTAAAGGGGGCGATGTGGGGTGGAGGGAGGGGAGGGGCCGCCCCCCCAACCCCTCCCGCTCCCCCCTCCGCGATGTTGGTGCTGCTGGGGCTGCTGCTGGGAACGCGGGGGGCAGGTGGGGGTTGGGGGTTGGGGTGGTTGGGGGGGGGGGGAGCTCTGCTTAATGCGACTCTGGTGGGGGGGGCGTGGGGGATCTCTGCTTTATGGGTTTGTGGGGAGGGATTTGGAGGGACTCTGGGGGGGTTCTGGGGGGATTCTGCTCTATGGGATCATGGTAGGGGTTTGGGGGGGCTCTGCTTAACGGCATCGTGGGGGGGGGGCATTGGGGATCTCAGCCTTTTAAGACTTTGGGGATGATTTGTGGGAGTCTCAGCTTTTGGGATATTGGGGCCACTTTGGGGTGGTCTCAGCCCTCAGGACCCCCAGGGAGGGCTTTAGGGTGGGCTGAGCCTTTTGGGATAATGGCGTCCTTTTGGGGGGAGGGTCTCAACTTTATGGGATGTTGTGCTCAGTTTGGAGGGGGACTCAGCTCTGAGGGATATTGGGGACAATTTGGGGGATCTCAGGGCTTTGGTACTCACGGGACGATTTTGGGGTGATGGGGGGCCTCAGCCTTTTGGGTTGCTAGGGATGATTTGGGAATGCTCGGCCTTATGGGATGGTGGGGGCACTTTGTGGGGAGCTCAGCTTTGTGGGGTATTGGGGCCACTTCGGGGAGTCTCAACCCTTAGGACTCCCAGCAAAGGCTTTAGGGATCTCATGGGATCCCAGTGTTGAGCTCAGCTCACTGTTGTGTCCCCATGGGGACCTCTGGGGGGCTCCAAATGGGATGGGGTCACTGCCAGCACTGCCACCTCCCCACTGTCCCCTCAATTCAGGTGCCTTCATGGTGCACATGGCCAGCTCCTGCCCGCTGGCAGCCAACGGCTCTCTGCTGGGCTTCGACCTCACCGTGGCCTTCAACAAGAACCCCCTGGTGTGCTACGACCCCGACGTCCGCCGCTTCAACGCCTGCGATTGGAAGCTGCTGCACAACGTGGCCGGACGGATTGCCAGCGCCCTCAACAACGGCAGCACCTGGGTGCAGCGCGCAGAGGCGCGGAGACGGGCGTGCAGCAAAGTGGCTGCACGGTTCTGGGCACAGACAGCGCTGCGGAGGAGTGAGCATTGCAAATGGGGCTGCATGGGGTGTTGCACGGAGGTGGTGTTGCATGGGGCGTTGCATGGGGACGTTGCATGAGGATGTTGTATAGCAATGATGCATAGCAATGATGCATGGGGTGTTGCACGGGGATGTTGTTGCATGGAGACATTGCATGGGGCACTGCATGAGGGTGGTGTGTTGAGTGTTGCTTGGGGTTCTCAAGCAGGGGGGTGTAGCATGGAAAAGTTGCACGGAGAATTGCACAGGGGTGTTGCAAAGCACATATGGAAGATTGCACAGGGGTGCTGCAAAGCATAACGCATGGGAATGTTGTATATGGAGGATTGCATGGGGGCTTTGCTGAACATTCTGCGTGGGGCATTGCTTAAGGGTCCCAAGCATGGGGATGCTGCAAGGAAAAATTGCACAGAATATTGCTCGGCGTGTTGCATGGAGTTTGCTGCACGGGGATGTTGCATGGCGCACTGTAGGGTAGTTTTGCAGAGCGCACTGCATTGCACATTGCACAGAGGAATGCACCAGGCATCTCCCGGCTGTTGCAGAGGACGTCCCATGAGGTATTGCAGCAGACAAAGCACAGAGCGTGGGGACGTCCCGTGGGGATGTGGCACACAGCATTGCGCGGGGAATCCTACAGGGCAGTGAGATGGGGAAGTTGCACAGTGAGTTGCATGGGGCGTTGCACAGAGGAAGCATTGCAGAGAATGGGGCAGGGGCCATCCACGCCTCCTGCTGCTCACCACCCCTGCTGCTCACCGTCCCTGTCCCTGCTCCAGCCCAGCCCCAGGTCCGCATCATCCCTGCACAGACAGGGAACCCCAGCGTGCCCATCCGCCTCACCTGCCACGTGTGGGGCTTCTACCCCCCCGAGGTGACCATCATCTGGCTGCACAACGGGGACATCGTGGGGCCTGGAGACCACTCGCCCGTGTCCGCCATCCCCAATGGGAACTGGACCTACCAGACACAGGCGGCCCTTTCAGTGGCCCCGGGGCTGGGGGACACCTACACGTGCTCAGTGCAGCACGCCAGCCTGGAAGAGCCCCTCCTGGAGGACTGGCGTGAGTTGGGGTCGACAGGGTGACACGGGGACAGCGGTGTCCTTGCTGTGTCACTGCTGGCTGTGTCCCCGCAGGTCCGGGGCTGACACTAGAGGTGACTCTGATGGTGGCTGTGGCCACTGTCACGATGGTTCTGGGGCTCGGCTTGCTTCTCACTGGTGTCTACTGCTGGCGGGCCCAGCCCCCTGCCCCAGGTGGGTGCTTGGGAGGGATCCTGAGGGGCTCCATGGACCTCTAAGGGGTCTCTGTGGGGTTCCTATGGGTCCCTGCGGGTTGCTGTGGATGTTTTATTCTCTACGGGTCCCTGTGGGGTCTCTGTTGATCCCTATGGGTTGCTGTGGGGCCTCTGTGGGTCTCTCTATTGGCCTCTGTGAGGTCTCTACTGGTCTCTATGTGTCCCTATGGATCTCTATGTGTTCTCTGTGGGTCATATGAGTCTCTATGGGATGTGACCATGTGTGACAAGAGCCCCACTCATCCCTCCCATTCCCTCACTTTTAGGTTACACCCCACTTCCCGGTCACAACTACCCTTCAGGTGAGTGTCCCCAACCTGTCCCTGTCCCATTGCCATCAATAAGGGCTGAGTGACCCCATCTCTCACCCCATAGTGACCCCCTCTCTCACCCCATGTCCCCGCAGGCAGCATCTGATGGACACCTTCTGTCACCCACTGTCCCTGTGTGTCCCCATCCCCAACCCTGAGCCATGGTGCTGACATTAAAGACACTCTGCAGCCTCTGTTGGTGTCTCTGCGAGTTTATTGGGATGGGTTGATGTCACCGGGGAGAGGTTGTTTGGGGTCATCGTGTCCATGATGGTGACAATGAGTGACATCGTGCATGGGGAGATGACCGGGTGCTTGTGGGGTCTGTGTTTCAGGGCCAGTTCTGCTCAGTGCCTCCATAAGTGACCTGGATATAGGTCATGAGTCGCCCTAATTAAGCAGGGGACAAAATTGAACTGAGCCATTGACTCACGGTTGGAGTGTTATCCCAGAGGATTCCTCCGCCCTCTGTACCTCTCCGAGGTGGAAGAAGCGCTCCATGCACCCCACACCCAGGGGGTTCATCGCAGCCCCCCAGCCGTGCTCTGACGGCTCCTTCCCTTCCCACCGCCCCCTGCCCCCCTAAAGCCCTCGGCCCCCTCCCCTGCTCAGGGACACAGCCCCGTTGGGACACAGCCCTGCTGCCCGCTCGGTGGTCGGGGGGGCCCGGGGGGTCCCACACCGCTCCCGTCCTCTGCCCCGCTCCGCGCTTTCGCTTTCGATTTCCAATCCACGGGAGCGCATTCTGCCTGGCGCCCGGTGACGTCACGCACGCTCACGTCCGCCATTGGCGGGACGGAGGCAGAGGAACCAATGGGGGGGCATAGGGGAGGGTCTGGGAGTCCCTCACTCTCCCTGCACTTCCTATAGCATTGGGACTCCCCACCCTGAGATCCCAACTCACCCAGGTGGAAACATGCAGTTTTATTCCCAGTTCTGTGTCACACCGCCGGCCTGGTGTAGGAGATCCAGATGTCGTCCAGCTGGAGGTGGCCCTGCAGATCTGTGCTCAGCCTGCCTGCAGGCTGCTCTGGGCCGTGGTTGGGGATGGCGTGGGGGGGTCAGGGGGGACAAGTCCCAGTTCAGCTCCTCTGGGCACAGATGTGGCCCCACGCTGATTACTTACCCCCTCCCCTCATCCCTCCTCTGCCCACTCCACACTCTTTACTCACCACTCCATCACACACTGCTGCTCCCTCCTCCCCCTGCGTTCACCCTCGCACTCCCTTGTGCGAGGCTTTCATGGCTTTCATGCGGATACATGGCTGGAAATTGTCCTTTGGGTTGAGCTGTGCCTCCCCCCCATAGTGTACAGTGCTGCTCCAACCACATTTTGAAGGCAAACACTCGGCTTCCATAACCAACCATGCACTGAGGCTGAGCTGCCCACACCCCACATCCCAACTCGTTCCTCTACAAAGCATCTCCACTTTATTCCATACAAATCCCAGAGCACCCCACACTTCCCATCCTGCAGCCAGGAGCAGAGCCAGCCACTGCTCCCCGTGTCCCATCGCATCCCACTCCAGCTGCCCTATGGTTGTCAGCGCTGTAGCAGCCGGCTGTAGGGTCCACCGCGGGTCCTCAGCTCAGCAGGTGTCCCCATCTCAGCCACCGTGCCGTGCTCCAGCACCACAACGCGGTCAGCCTTCTCCAGCATCCGTGGTTGGTGGGTGATGAGCAGCACCGTCCGGTCCCCCCCGTTCCGCACCCACTGCTGCAGCTGTAGGACGCACAGCTGCCCATCAGCACGCACTGTAGGGCCGGACCTTCCCCCCTGCACGCTGCTCAGTGCTCACCGCCGCATCGCCGTCCCCATCCAGAGCGCTGGTGGCTTCGTCAAGGATGAGGATGGTGGGACGCCGCACCAAAGCGCGGGCGATGGCGATGCGCTGCTTCTGCCCTGCCGACAGCTGCCCTCCTCTCTCCCCTACATCTGCAGGACGGGGTGGGGATGAGTGTGCTCAGACAACCGGGTCCCCCCCCCGGCTCCCTGCACTCACCGGTGCTGAAGCCTTTCTCCAGGGCAGAGATGAATTCCAAAGCGCCTGCGGCCCTCGCAGCTGCTATGATGTCCTCCTCCTCGCAGTTCTCCATCCCATAGGCAATGTTATCCCGAATGGAGCCGGAGAAAAGCACGGGTTCCTGCCCTACCAGTGCCACCTGCCCCAAGGAAGATGCTGAGCCCCAGCACCACTTGCTGTGGCCACAACTCCCCCCTGCCCCTCACCTGGCGGTGCAGGTAGCGGTGCTCATAGTCCCGCAGCGGCACCCCGTCCAGCAGCACCTCCCCAGCCCCAGGCTCATAGAATCTCTCCAGCAGTGCCACGCAGGTGCTCTTCCCGCTGCCATTCAACCCCGCCAACGCTGTCACCTCACCAGGGCGCAGCTCAAAGGTGACATCTTGCAGTACGAGGCGCTCGGGGCGAGTGGGATAGGCGAAAGACACGCGATGGAAGGTGATGTGGCCCCGCAGCTTGGTGGGCACGTAGGTGCCACCGGTGCCCACAGCTCGCTCCTGGTCCAGGTAATCGAAGACCTTGCAGGCGGCCACCGCGTTGCTCAGAAGGTCACCATAGGAATACGCCAGCGCCTGCATGGCACAGCTGTGACCCCCAGGCACAGCACCCACGGTGGGGATACAGGGATGTGGCCACAATCATGGGGATCCAGTGGCAGAGGACGCACTGCCTGACCTCACCTGCACACAGCTGCCAGCTTTAGTCTGGTAGAGGATGAAGGCGACGAGGCTGCCAGCAGTGAGGGTCCCCTCGCGGAGCTGCTGGTGCCCACAGTACAGCACCAGAGCCTGCACGGCCAACTGCAGCACCTGCAGGGATGGGGCTGAGAGGGGATGTCCCCATCCCACATGGACACCAAGATGTCTCCTCATGCCAGCCTCACCCGCCGGATGAGGAGAAAAATGGCCTTCTCTGTGTCCCGCTGGTCCCGCAGCTGCAGGGTCTTGTCCAGTGCCTGCCTGTAGCGGTGCTCCTCCTCCTCCTCGCCGTTGAAGACTCGTACTGTCTCAATGGAAGAGATGGACTCCTGCACTGCCGCTCCAGCGTCGGCTGCTGCATCCAGCACGGCCCGCTGCAGCAGCTGGGGGGAACAGTGGGTGTCAGCACGCATGGCATGGCCAAGTCCTCACCATTCCACTTCCATTCCTGCCCTGCTGTTTTCTGCCATCTCATCCTGGCTGTGCTGGACTCACAGTCCCCATCCTGCTCTCCTGCTCTTCCCACTGTTCCCATCCCACTGCTGTTGTCTCCATCCCTGCCACCCCATCCCCACCATCCCAACCCCTGCCATCACCTGGTGCCGGGTGTTGTAGACTTTCTGTGCAGCAACAGCAAGTGGCACTTCGAGCAGCGCCAGCATCGTCAGGCGCGGGGACAGCCCCAGCATGAAGGCACAGAGCCCCAGCACCTGCCCCAGGTTCCTCAGCATGACGTTGATGTTGAGTGCCAACACGTTGCTTGCCAGCGTCACGTCGGTGGTCAGCCGGAAGACCAACTCAGCTGCGGGGTTGAATGGGGTGAGCTGGGGTATGGCGTGGGGACAGGAACAAAAATGCCCCCAGTCTGTACCTGCTGTGGTCTTCTGGAAGAAGGCGAGGTCCCGGTACACCAGGCTGGAGAAGAGCTGGTCACGGGTGCGCAAAACAAAGCGAAACCTGATGAAGGAGAAGAGCCCACCACGGCAGCCGGCAAACAGCGAGCTGGGAAGGAATTGGGGGTTGAACTCAAAACCCATCAGGGGTCAGTGGAGAGCCCAGAACCCTTCAGACAATCACTAAGAGTCAACAAAGAGCCCCAAACCCATCAAACAACAACCAAAGGTCAATGCGTGGTCAACCCAAAACCCAGTAGGGTTGGAAGGGGTCTGGGAATGGAGACCCTTTTAGGGTCAGACAACAATCATCAGACAACAATGAGCAGTTGGTGGGTCTAGGGACAGAGGTGCCTAAATTCACTACACAATCAATAGGGGTTGGCCAAATCTGGGGATGAAGACCCCAGATGCTCTTAGATTACCACCAAGAGTGAATGGAGACCTCAAAAGCAATCAAATGACCACCAGGAATGGAAAGAGACCCTCAAGCCCATCCGATGACCACCAGAGGTGGATGAGATTTTGCGGAGGGATGTGGGGTCCCTACCTGCTGGCAGAGGCCAGGCACATGAAGCCGACAGCAGCGGTGAAGGCGGCGAGGCCGTCCCCATGGCGGAGGACATCCAGGGCTTTCCCAGTGCAGTAAGGCACTGAGGTCTCACCCAGCGCAGCCAAGGCAAGGAAGAGGAAGGCGCAGCTGAGGAAGGGCCACTCAGGCCAGGCAAGGGCCAGCAGCCGCCTCAGGGGCACCCAGGCCTCTCCCTCCTTCACTCCCACAGCTACAGTGGGGACCAGGAGGCTCCAGGTGAGCAATGCCACCACGGCTGTCCCATGGGTCAGCACCAGCCAGGACGGCGTGGCTGTGGCCAGCAGCACTGGGGTGGCTCCAGGCAGCCCCACGTAGCCCCGTAGGGTCAGGAAGATGGCTGGGCCCAGACTCAGCAGCACCGCAGCCCCGTGGGGTCCCCTGGGGGCCAGCAGCCACCCGGCCCCCCCCAGCACCAGTAGGCGCAGCCCGGCTTCCAGCCAGGAGCCCACCCGGCCCAACTGAGCCAGTGCTGGGAAGAAGTGGGCCAGGGCCACCATGAGGGCCAGGTCGGCCAGGAGCAGCGTGCATGACAGGCGCAGAACGTGGGGCCGCATCACCATGGCTGCGGGGTGGGGACCCCCAGAGCCTCTGATGCACAGCAGGACCGGGTGGGCTCTTCGGGGTGCTCCTGACGCGGGTTCTCAGCTCCTCTCAGCACCTGGAACACACAGCAGTGCTTTGAGAATGGCCCCCCCTTCCAGCCCGGCTCCCCACGGACCCTTCTGGAGCACACACCAGCAGCCACCGAACCCCTCCAGCCCCCTCCAGTGGCCACCAAACCCCTCCAGTCCCCACCAGTTCCCCGCCAGCCCCTCGACAGTCCCCACCAGTAACCACCAGTCCCCACCAGTCCCCATCAGCCCCTACCAACCCCCTCCAGCCCCCTCCGGCCCCTCACCGCCGCCGCTCTCCATCCCCTCCCCGCTCCGCCGTTACTTTCATTTTCAATTTCCCCGCCCCTCTCCAAACTGCAGTGTTCCGACTTGCCTG